GTACAGGGTTTCCGAGGCTGTAAATCTTTACGGGAGCAGAAAGCCTCATCTTTCTCCCGCGGAGCAGCTGGTAGTTTCGAACTGCTGACCTTGCGGTTCAAAGCCCAATTCGTAACCACTATGCTACCAGAGTTCCTTTGGAATTTGAATAATATCTCCAATAAAGCAGTTATTTTTTGAAAATCAACAATGGGCTGGATCTTCTGGCTGAAAAAAAAACTTGGACAACAGTCTGAATTTTAACTGTTGTCCACATAATCGCAATGAAGGAAAACTCACTAATTCTAATGTCTTTATAGCCAAGCATTTCAAGAATGTCCAGGCAGCAAGGGAATGCAAGGAGATGAAGCGTAAACAGAGCTATCAAAGCGCATATAAGCTTGACTCCAGGTGACTAAAATAAGCAATGGAAACTGGCAGCCGAAGAATAACTCAGTGGGCAGAATCCAATGAAGTATCTGCTTTTGTCTGAACAAAAGCCAGAATTATGGACAGAAAAAAAAAAGGCCCCTTGAATAATAACAGTAAGCACAAACTAAAGAACGGCCTTCAAAAATAGGCAGTGAGGCAAAACACAATTGTGGCTCCATAAAGCCATTCGTTCCTTCATTCGTTTAACAAATGAGTGTTTCAGGCAAATACTTACTGAGTCCCTATTAAAGGTCATAAAGACTGCTGATGGAACCGTGGTTTAAGCAGCGGCAGCTAACCAAAAGGCCAGAGGTTTAAACTTACCACCAGCCACACAGAGGAAGACAGACGTAGCTATCTGCTTCTGTAGAGATCACATCCTCGGAAACCTATGGGGGCAATTCTGCCCTATAGGGTCACTGTGAGTCGAAGTGACTCAATAGCACCAGGTTTGGTTTTACTAAGGGCACGAGGCAAGGTGCCAGGAATACGATGGTGAGCAAGACACACAATCTCTGCTTTCACAGAGCCTAGTCTAACAGGCAATACAGGTAAAACACAGGTGATCACGGGAAGCTTCCAGAGGAAGTGACACCCTGGGTGACCTCTGCGGAAATCAGAAGTCAGCCAGGTACAGAAGAGGTGAGGGAAGAGTGCTCCTGACAGAGCCAATAGTGTGTGCCCTCACCAGCAGCCTACCTGAACAGACAGTGCTATCAAAATAGTTGCCATCTCTCTACCCAGTTTGCCATCCAATCAATTCACTAAAGTTCTTCCACATGCCAAGAATTGTGCTTTTTGCTGGGCATACACAGTAGTGCACATACTTGCACTCCAAAAGGAGAGGCAACAAGCAAGTCAGCAACGCATCCCATATGAAAATATTCTCCCTTGGAAAGAAGGTAATGCTGGTGGCCCTGTAGGACAAGCACTGGACTGTTAACCACAAGGTTGGCAGTTCAAATAGCAGTTGCTGAGCAGTAAAATGAGGCTTCCTGCTCCAGTAAAGATTTACAGTGTCAGAATCCCTTATGAGTCAAAACCCACTTGAAGGTACCTAACAAAAAAAAAAAACAGGAAAGAAAGGCATGTGGCCCCAACAGGTTCAAGGAGTCAGTCTCTCCTTGTGACTAAGTGCTCAAACTGACTTCAGAGCTTTAATTCACCCTCATTCCTTGTTCACGGAAAAATCAACAGTTTTCTTTTTCTAAAAAAAACAGTTAACCTTTTGAGTTCTATTTTTAAATTTGGTTTCTACTTTTAGTTGTTTCAAAAGGGTTTAATGAGCAATTTGTAATGAATTTAAGAAAAGATAGTTGAGGGGGTGAAATGCTGATTCAACCAAAACTTGAATCAACCATGCTTCTGAATTGTTAATCTTAAGAAAGTTTAATGAAAACATAATAATTTAACAAAAATTATTTAATCAATGCTTAGATTAGACTCCAAATGCACTGCCAGACACCTAACTTAAGTCATTTACAAAGCCACAGTTATTAAACACATCATGTTCTATGAGGAAGAAAAAAAAGATGAATCACAGTATACTCAGTATACAATATATTGAATCACGGTACACAGGCTATTTTATGATCTATGAGACAAAAAATAATAATCAAAAGGAAGATAATAATGCATGGGCTAAAAAAGGGAGAACGAGCTGATTTTCAAAACACAGTATCATGTGTGTGTTTAGTCACTTATACACTCCCTACCACACCCCACAAAAAAAGCAATGGTAAAAATAGCCCAAATGCCTAGGTGGACCGTGCCCTCTGTAATATAACAGGCAGCTCGTGTCACGGAAGAGAAGCTGACAAGCTTCCAAGGTGAACGCCGAGCGAAGACAGAGCTGTCAGCATGCTGACTCCAAGTTTACAAAAACCAGCCTTTCTGAAGCTAACAAAGTGGGATGAATCGCTTAGTGATCTGAACCTTGTAATAAATCTGCACTGAAATGAGAACAGTAAAATGGGAAATGCAATACAGGACTCTCAGTTAGACATGGAGGATTGAAGCTCCCTCCTTCAAACCTTCCTGAAATGAGAGTAAAGAAAAAAAAAAAAAAAAAAGCCTAGGGAAACTCACAGGGCACAGAGAATTGGAGAGGAGATTAGACATATTTGCACACTTTTCAAAGGTGGAAAGTGATGGCAAGGAGGGAACTATCTTACGTTTCCTTTTTTTCCTCTCTGCTAAACGATTTTCCAGTCTGCCAGCAGGGAAAAAAGCCAACAAAAACCAAGCCAATTCATACCAGAGAACCCTTAAAAGGCTGAGAATTGAAAACACAAGATATTTGTGATGGGAAGAAGCTAAAAACAGAAAGATTGGGTGAATGACTGCAGAAGATGTAACAAAACCCCCACCTCCCCAGTGCTGTGCATTGCATTGAAATATACAGATGAGGCTCAGAGAGAATGAATGAGCAAGTCTCCAGTCTTAGCAATATCATACACAGCTAAGTGAAGCACCCACTGAAAGTCCCAGGATTAAATGAAAGTCTACAGGCTGAAGAGTAAGACCCTGGCCAGGCCATTCCCTGAGCTCCCAGTCCGTGATGAGGCATAAGATTCCTCTTTAGGTAAATAGACAACCTCAAGAGAAAAAAAACCTATAGATAAACTAACATCTGAAGGTTAAAAAAGCAAGCAAACAAACAAAATATAGCAAGAACCCCACTCAATTTTCCTATCATAAGTTTCCAGTTATCAAATGCCCCTACACACAACACACAGGTTCTAATTGGCTTATTTTCTCACATTTAACTATGAATATCAATTCAATGGTCACAAAACATTCTATTCTAACATAAAAGACAGAGATCAAAATGAGAATCATGGGGACTCAGTGGACATAGGAGGAATTCAAGGAGTTGAAAACAATACCAAAAACCCTCTAACATCCTCAATATAACAAATGTATTGGATCCACTAAACAAAAGTGAGCACCATTACAGTTGACTATTCAGAAAACAAATACAAGAAAAAGCTTTGGGAAATTAAAAATATAACAGAAATAAAAATTTCAGAAGGACTCGAACATTAAAATGAGCAAATCTCTCCTGGGGGTATGACCAAAAGATGAAGATGGCATAGAAAAAAT